GAAAGGCAAGGGACGGGCGCCTTCCCGTCGGCGAGGGCGGAGATGACGAGGCTCAAAGCGGAGAGCGACGCGTTGATCTTCTTGGCCTCGTCGAGTGTGCCTCCGGTCGCGCCCGTCTTTGAGATCTTTTCAGATCCGGCGAGGTCAGCGATGTTCAGCTTCGAGACGCGAACCGAACCGGAGCGGGACCTACTCGGGAGGGGAATGGACGCTCAGTGCGAAAACGTGGAGCGGCCCGCGGCGTGGCCGGGTGGGCGGCTTTTGCTGCAGCGTCAGCGTCAGCAGGGCGTGCGAGCGCGACGACTGGCTGTTCATCAGAGTCGCACCGACCATCCGGTGGGCGTTGCCGCACTGGAGTACGTCGAGCACGTCCGCCTCGCTCGCCACCATCACCTGGCTAAGACCCTCCACGTACACCCCCGCCTTGGCCGTCTCCCGGATCGCCAGACCGCCAGCAGCACCGCCGCCGCCTCCCGCGCCGCCAAACGCGGTCGGCGGCGGCGCCGCCGCCGCGGGCTCGAGGAGGTCGCGGACGACCTCCTTGTAGATCTCGAGGTACGAGCAGGAGAGGAGGTACTCTGCGCCGCTCTCGTCGCCGCACAGCCGCCCGAAGATGTGCTGCATCGCCCGCGGCAGCACGCCCGGCTCAGACGCCGTCCCCATCACCGAGTGCGTCTTTCCGGAGCCGGTCTGGCCGTAGGCGAGGACGGTGCCGTTGTAGCCTTGCAGCACGGCATCCACGATCCCGGAGACGTGCCCGTACGTCTCCGCCTGCGTCGCCTGCGTCGGCAGCACGGCGTCGAACGTGTGGCTCGCGCCGCCGTCCTCGGCGAGCGAGACGGTGCGGCCGTCGTCGGCGAAGCGGACTGCGGGCGCGGACAGCTGCGACGCGGCCTCGCGCGCGCTCGGCGGCCGGAAGCGGGCGACGACCTTGATGGCCTCCGAGCCGCCGCTCATCGCTGTTGGAAGATGAGTGGGAAGTGGGAGTGTCGTCGCAGGTCTCGCTGTCGCGTTCAAGCAAGAGCCGCGGTAGGAAAAAAGAATTGGTGTCGGGTTGCGGCATGGCGTGTGCGTGTGCGTGACTGCAACGAAGGACCGCTCGCAGAGGACCATTGGGTTTGTACTATTAACAACGAAGGCGCTCTCAAAAAAGAATTTAACAAATTCTCTCACAGCAGACAAGGGATTGCAAAAAGGGGATTAAAAAAGGTCACGCCGCGAAAAAATCCTAAATGGGGCAAAGCGTACTACGCCCTGCATGCAAAGTCGCTCCCCACCAGCGGCCAGGTCCCGAGTGTTTTCAATCGCTGTCGTGGGCTCGCTTGTCATGTAGAGTGCGTTGGGTCTCGAGGTGGGTTGCGCGAGGCTGCCACCATACCATACCCCGCAGAAAGTCCAAACCCTAAAACGGTTGCGCTCGAGAATTCTTTAGAGGGGCCCCCGGAGGGACGCTCAGCCGCTCCACGCCACGCCGCTTGCGGCGGTCCTCCTTCCCAGCTCCGCTGAGGGCCCGAGCGTTATTTAGGATACCCATCACTGAGCCGACAATGCTACGGGTAGCCCCAGGGTGGCGCCCACCCCCATGCCCTCGGGCACTTGCCTGCGCCCTCGCGCACTAGCCCACGCCCTGCCCCGCAAGATCTCACTCCATCCCGGCCTGTGGCATACCTCGGCACCCCCTTGCACGGAATCTGAGCGTGAGGGAATCTGAGTGTGAGGGAATCTGAGCGTGAGGGAACCTGGGCAGTGCCGCGTAGTGCGGCGTGCGCGGACGTGCGCGGGACGTGCGGCGGACGTGCGCGGGACGTGCGGCGGACGTACTGCCGCTGCCCCAGTCAGGCGCGCCCGGTGCGCGCAACTACCTCGACATCATTCTATCGCCAGCGCCTACGCGACCGAGCTCCCCTGCTCCGCTGTCTGCCCTGCCGCCTGTCGAGCTGCCCAGCCTTCAGTCCGCCGTCTCGCGCGACCCTCCCTTCGGTGTCGTGGCCGAAGCTGCTGCCGCGGGCAGGCCAGACAACCACGCGCACGCCTTCCCCTCGCCGGGCAATGGAGCCTGCAGGGCAGGGAGCAGCGCAGGGAGCGGTTCGGATTTTTCGGCGCCTGTCGAGCCGCCAGTTGGCACGCCTCCCGACGCTTCGCTCGCCTCTCCGTTTACGGATGATGTCGCGGCCGGAGCCGCTGACGCTGCCGCTGCCACCTCGCTCTTCGCGCTCGACGGCATCGCTGCCGACGACTTGCAGGCTGCTGCTCGTAC